TCCCAGTGATGACACACCATGTTTGGCAGTTTTTTCTGGGGAGGCAGTGTAGTAGAGTGGAATTTGAAATTATAATTATGAAGTATAATGGGGATTTGGGAATGACAAAGAGTTAGGGTGCATCTTGCTTTTTCCATCCTCTTGCTGTATTTGCTAGGTTTCTTTCTGAACACAAGTTTTCTCACCTTTAGAGTGTGGATTAGAACCTTTACTTTATAGAGTTGCTGTGAAAATTGGTATGAACTAATGAATCTAAAAGAGACAAATTTAATCCTCAGCACATGGCAAGAATTTAATAAAAAGTAACTTTAATTTTAATTAGACTCCAGGATTAGACTGTTTTTCTCTTTGCTGATCAAATTCTTACCTATTGAAGGATTTTCTGGAGCACCATTAGAGTTGAAATTCACTCCAATCTTCCCTCTGCCTAGAGCAAATGGCCCACACAAATTGCTTTATGTACAACAGGTCTGACGATGGTGTTTTTTTCCCATGAGGCAGCCTTTGAAAGAGCATAAACAATCCTCCATGCTGATTTACCAAGTATCATATAGATGACAACATGGCCAGTTGTGAAGTGGATGATTGCCTTGGCGGAAGTATTTATTTTTATTAATCTCGGTAATATCAAAACATATCCCTGTAGCTCTTTACACTTTCAAAAGTCAAATGCCAATTTTTAATTTTTTTATCACATTATAGCAGCACAGTATATAGGAATCTTAATTTTTACATGAGGAAACTGAGGTCTAAAAGTTATATCACCCACTTGATATTCCATAGCAAAGTAGAGTCAGAACTGGCACTAGGATTTGTGTGGCTTGAGGGACAGTTTCAAACTTCCAGGCCAATTTTAAGTTGTCTTTGGCAGTGGTGTACCAAGCATGGGGGTAGTGGTAGGTGTGGTTAGCGCCAATGAGAAGTAATCATATTATCACTGTCATTATTTAGAATTGCCACTATAATGTAATATTGATAATAAAACAAGATCAACTTTTAGCCAGCTTTATCAGTTTTAAAATTATCTATAGACAGTCTATCCCTTTATTGTCTGCATTAGAGACTGGCAGCTCCCTGCACCCACCCTGGGTACTGCTCTGGTTCTAGTAAAAAAGAAAGGATTCTTCTGAAGTGAGGAATTTTGATTTCTAAGCAGAAGTGACTTGAGGCCAAAGGAAAATGGAAATGATGTATTTGTGCCTACTTGTTTTGTGGCTCTACTTCCTCTTGACACAAGGGACCAAGAGCTTCCTGAGCATAAGATTAATAACTACAGCAACATTTATTACCATATTTAAAACTTATAAAGACCTGGTAATAGTGTGTACTCCATGAAGCACTTATTTCAGTATTTCAATTGCACACGTGTCCAAGGTCACAATAATGTAGCAGCAGCAAATGTAAGATCTGACCCAGGTGTAGTCTGGCTCTTACCTCTGTGCTCTTCCACTGCTTCTACCTTCTGTCTGTCAACTAATATTTGAACAGTCACTAAAGTACAACAAATGCTTATATCACAGAGAAGGCACAGTGCAGAAGCCCCACGCCTCCATTTGTGGAGGTTGCACTCTGCACAAAGATGCCTGGCTGGGGAGGCAAGCAGGGCCCCAATAAGCCCAACCTTGGCAGTTTTCTAAGTTGCACAGAGGTGTCGTATGAGCTGGCAGAGGCTTGGAACAACTGGTGGCTACAGGTTCAGGAATCCTCTCAGCCTGTTGCCTTCTGTTTCCCATCTATCATTTGAGCACTATTTGCCAGTATCCTGGATGTGGCTCTGCCTGAAGGAAGGTCCCTGCCCTTAAGTTTAGAGTTTACAATCCCCTTCAGCCAGCGTGAAATACCTGGTTATCCTGGGACATGACTGGCATTCCTTCAGAAGCTCATCATTCTGAAAATCAGGTGCAGACCACCATCTATGTGACAAATCTTGCGTCTTCCTTAATGGGCATAGTCCATAACAAGGAAGGCTTGGGGGTTCGAGAGCTGGGACAGCCTGTTCCTCTATAGCACTCTCTGGAAAATAGGACCGGAAAGTGTTTCAGGGTCTTGTCGGACTATGCCTCAGGGAGGGGGGATTCTTTTCAATCTGTTACAATCGTGGTCACAATAGCCTGTAAATGTTTGTTAAAGGAATGACATTTAAATTAAAATATTTATCCCAATAATTCGGTAATGTGGGAACTACGTAGTCTTTCTGATATTCAGGTTTAGCACTTGATCCACATTAGTTTCAAAGGAAGACAGAGGACAGATCTGGGGATCAGGGACCTTTGACTTCTAGTTCCATCTCTGCCACAGCCTTTGGGTACGACCCGGGGCAAGTCACTGACCATGTCGAGAATGCAGATAAACGTCATGATGCACCCGGTGGACCCCGAGGCCCTTGTGCTGGTGTGGCACATTCACACTGCAGTCATATGTTCCATGGCACTTTGGAGTTGGCAGAGTTCAATGATCTCCTGGTCCATTGTCCTCATTTGACAGGTGCTCTTCATAAAGAAGACAGGGCAGCTGTTATTGTCCCCTCTTAGAAATTAAAATACTAAGGCCCAGAGGGATGAGCCATTTCATTAAAGGGGATACGCTCTGGCTCATCTTCCCCCAACACTGCACTCTCAGCTAACTTCTATTGGCTCCGGTCCAGCCTTGCCCAGCATTCTGCTGCCTTGTTCTCCATGGAGACAGAAAAGCACCAGCCCGTGCGTGCCCTGTAGGCCCTCAAATGCCTATGGCTGTCCTTTACTGTAACATTACTGAGATAGAGCAGACAATGTCTCTTGGAGACGAGCAGGAGAAATGCAAGTCTGGTTCTGCTTTATTTCTTACCAGAGAGAGTGTGTAGAATTTGAGAAGATGAAAACCAGGCAATTTCCTTGTTCTAAGAATAGGTTTTCTTGGGAGCCAGCACTACTGGGAGACGGGGTCAGGTATAGAGGCCTCAGCTCCGTATGTCATTCTGATACCAGTGGGTCAGCCCGCGGGAAGACAGTAACAACAATAATGAGATCTACACTTACTAAGTGTCTACGCTAAGTACAGCGAGGATTCGACCGATACTGTGTCACTTAGGAAATGAAACTTCTAAAAATAGAGACTGAAGAAATTAGCAGTTTTAGAAAGAAGCTGTAGGAAGGGGAGAAATTATGTTGTCTGAGGGCAGAAGTCATGTTTCATAAGGAACTGTGACATTTAGAATGTAAGGACTGAGAGCCTACAAGTGCGCCAGCCACCACGGCCCCCTTGTGTCCAGTGGGAGTCTCCCCTCTTTTGAGTCACATTCAGGTCACCGCATCCAACAAAAAGAGAAAACAGATTTTTAAAAAAAAATTAGATTTGGGGGTCTTATAAGGGATCTCGGCCCTATTACTTCCTACCAGGAAAATTTTTACTGATTCTTTTAACCTCTGACAGCCTCAGTATTTTCATCTGTAAAATGTTACTTTTTAAAATGAAGGTTGGTTATAATATATGAAGTTCCTTGCACAACATTAGCAGATTCTAGACTTCTCAAGAAAAGTTGAAGGAAAAGAGCAGGGAGAGGAAAAAGAAGCATAAATGATTTATTATATTTATTATAATGTATTATTATTCTTTCAGATCTGGCGTAGGGTTCTTGAGTCAATGGCAAAATTAAGAGCATTCTACAAATTACCTGCTTGGGATTTTTCTTCCCTGAACCTTGCTAATTAAAAAACACCAAAAATGTACTAATTAGGCCTCTGACATTACTTTTCAACAATGAGGAAAGGACTCAAAGAACCATGTTAAAGGACATGTTAATATTACCCTAAAATGTAACTCAGCGTGACTCTGATGTTAATACTGATTTGTAGAATTAGTTACATGGAGAATAAATTAGGTTACGGGACAAATGGAGAATCTGAGATCCCTTTTCTAAAATACAGGGTCTTCCTCTCAGAGCATCTAGGAAGTGAAACAAACTAGCACAACTGCCCCACCTAACACATTCAGTGGCATTTGGAGCTGTGGTGGGGAAAACAGGCTCCCTAGTTAATTTCACACTTCCTTTATACATTTCAAAAACAAGGTGTGACTCATTTCAAAAAAACGAGGTACAGCTGGATTTTAAAAAGACCTTCAGAAGGCTAACTGCCAGGTATTTTGCAAACTCCCCAGCTTAAAGGAGTTTTCTGTTTCCTGATATCTGTTTGCTATGAGGAATCCAAATCTGCTCAGTTACAGCAAGGGCTTTGTGTTTCTTGAAGGACATTTCCTGCTCATTAAGGCTGTGGGCTTGCTGGAGTTGCTGGCCTTCATCACTCTTGAGTGTAGGCAGGTTGAGGGTGCGTCTGTACTCTACAAACCCACAGAAGTTTGCTAAAATGGAAAGAAAGAAGGAAACATATCTGTAGCATCCTTGTGTGTGTGATCCTCCCAAAAGCCCCAGGAAATGACAGCTACCATGGTCTGCGTTATATTGGATACATATATTAGAGAACCCAAACTCAGAGGGGTTACCCTGCCCCTAGCACCAAGCTGCTTCTCCATCAATGCACCCCATCTGCTCTGAAATACCTAGCAGACCTTGATGCAAGGCGATGGAGGCCCTCTCAGGTCGCTTGGCTCCTCTGCACCGGCACACCAGCCCCCCAGCCGCCCCCTCCTTCCTGCAGAGGCCCTAGGTTTGTTTTCTTTGGCTCCCTCATTAATGAGTTCCACAGGACAACGCTAAGTCTAGTTATGCAGCCTTAATTGGTTTAGTTACAACAAGATAATTCCTTTTTTCTTCTCTTGGAGGCCTCTCTGTTTAAAGACATTTTAGCTGGAAGATGCTAATTATCAATGAGGAGAAAGTGACACCTGAAGAGTTCATTTTCCATCTTGGTCCTTGGTTTTTCCTTTGAACTCTTTTTACCCAGCCCTCTTCCCACCTCAGCAGTCTCCCCCACCATCATAAAAGACAGCTCTTGCCTGGTCGGGAGGCAGACCTTTTTTCTGACTTGCCAGGGAGTCATTCCCTCCGCAGCTGCCTCCAGGGCATGGACAACCTACGAGAGACCTTCCTGAGCCTTGAGGGTGACTTGGGCTCCTCCGACAGCCCTGGTCTGCTGTCCTCCTGGGACTGGAAAGACAGGGCAGGGCCCTTTGAGCTGAACCAGGCCTCCCCTGCTCAGAGCCTTTCTCCGGCACCATCGCTGGAGTCCTACTCTTCTTCTCCCTGTCCAGCTGTGGCTGGGCTGCCCCCTGAGCATGATGGGGCCAGCAGTAGGGGCAGTGATGACTGTGGCGTCCAAGGGGCTGGTGGCCTGGTAGAGGTGGACTACAACATGTTAGCCTTCCCGCATGCCTACCTACAGGGTGCTGGTGGCCCCAAAGCCCAGAAGGGCACCAAAGTCAGGATGTCTGTCCAGCGGAGGCGGAAGGCCAGCGAGAGGGAGAAGCTCAGGATGAGGACCTTGGCGGACGCCCTGCATACCCTCCGGAATTACCTGCCACCTGTCTACAGCCAGAGAGGCCAGCCGCTCACCAAGATCCAGACACTCAAGTACACCATCAAGTACATCGGGGAACTTACAGACCTCCTCAACCGTGGCAGAGAGCCCAGAGCCCAGAGCGCCTGAGCTCTGCCCTGGGGAATGCGACCAGTCCCAGCCCTCTGGGCAGGAGTAGAAGACCTTTAAAGACCTGGAGTGTGTCATGGGACAACAGTGCAAAATAATTTTCAGAGTAAGCGTCATATTCGTGTAATCTGAAAGGTCCTAAGGGAATTCTCATCTGCTCTGTTGACCCACCAGACAAGCAGCCACTTATCCTTCCAGTTTTTCCACCATCTCTTGGAAGACTCATCTTTTGCAAACAGATTATTTTGCCCCCCTCTGTCTGTCAAAGGTACTTTAAAGGATCAATGATTATAAATGCATTTTTTCAATAACATAAACTAGTTATAATCTCCTGCCATTTTGGTGTTGGAAGCTTTCTTTTGTTACTAACTCAACCTAAAATTTGTACAGGATCCATTGTGACACTTGTATTCTCATTCAGAAAGATCTGTCCCAAGTAAATGGCTTTCGTGCTCTTGTTTCATTTTGTGTGTGAGTGTGTTTGCCTTTGACTGAAATCATGCCTTTATTTTTGCAGGGACCCAAATCACTTTAACATAGAATGAATTTGTGTCATGGTAAATGGAGAGTCAGGCCGAGTTAAGAGAAAGTGAAGACCAGAGCCCCCTGTCTTCTGGAATGGGGAGGAAGGTTGCATGTCACCCTGCCTGTGAGAATGGGAGTGAGGGTAGCGGGAGGAGGAGGGTAGCTCTGGGTCTGAGGCAGGGCTGAAAAGGCAGGAGCTCCCTGTTCCAGGCTGCTGTGAATAGGACCTTCTTTTTTTTTTTGGCCGAGGCTGGGTTTGAACCCACCACCTCTGCCATATAGCATTGACTTCTTCATCCATAGCATCTTCCTTACTGTATACCCCCAACACCTCCTTCACCCCAAATCCCCTCTCATGCACCCATTATTATAAACACACACCCTCTTCCCGCCTTGTCTGCAGGAGGGTGGTGTCTGTCGTATTCTCCTTTGGCTAATTTGAATGGCACAGGACACTGAAAAGAGGGCTTTGAATTAAGGCAGTTCTCAAGAACTTGTAAACTTTTTGAAAGATTAATTTTTATCCCAATTGGCTGTTCACCATTAGTGTTTGCTGAACATGGCTCTTGTCATTTTGTTTCTATTGGTGAGTTTCCTTCTATTTGGTGACATGACACTAATTACAAAAGCAGTAGATATATTAAAAAACTTCATGCATTCCTTTCACTCCTTCAAATTTCACATTTTTCTTTGCTGAAACAAACGTAAGCAAATAAATATAAGCATATATACAATTTTAAGAAGATCTTTAATTCTATGAATTCCTTTTTTTACCAGGCAATGTAGAGTAAAAATTCTTCCAAGATAGCACAAATAAATATGTGATGTGAATACCATTGTTTCCTTGAGTTTATAGATAAGGAAACTGAGGCAAGATTTGCCCAGAGCTATACATGTGAAAAGGATAGTGGAAAGCAGTGATTACAACAAAGCTCCATCGTACTGCAGAATCTTCTTATGAGTTGCCTTTTGAATGATACTGGAGTTGTTTTATGTTTTGTACTATAAAAAACGATGTCATAAATAACACAGATAGCTTTATCTACCGACATTTCCATCCCCAGAAACAGAATTTGTGGATCAGAGTGTGTGCACACTTTAAATCCTAATAAATACTGTTACGTCACTTTTTATAAAAGTTTGTATTTATTTACACTTCTCCTGATATTATGTGACAGAACCAGGGGACTCACATTGTAATCAGATATTATCAATTTTATACATTTTTAGTGGATACAATGGTTCTATCATTATTATGTTAATTTTAATTTTCCTATCTATTATTTGAGAGGGAGTATCTTATTTTATGTGACTATTATTCATTTTGGTTCCTTTTATAAAACTTACCAGTCTATTCTGTGTGTCATTTTTCTAGGGGATTGTTTATCTTGTTAGTGGGGAGAGTTCTTTGTATATTATGTATTTAAAAATTTCCTTTCAACCTATCATTTTGTTATACTTTTTATTGATACATAATATTTGTACATATTTTTAGGGTACATGTGATATTTTGCTACATGCATAGAGTGGATAAAGATGGAGTCGGAATTTAGGGGATCCATCGCTTCAAGAATGCATTATTTCTTGGTGTTGAGAACAATGCCTCTCCTCTCTTCTAGCCACTCTGAAATATACACTACATTGTCGGTAACTGCGGTCCCCTAGTCTGTTTTGGAATGCTAAAACTTAATTCATCGAACTGGATGTTTGAACTCAGCTCTCTTCGCACCCTCACCCCCATTCACTCACCTTTCCCCGCCTCTGGGATCTATCATTCTACTCTCTATCTCCACGAAATCAAAGTTATTAGCTCCCACATATGAGTGAGAACATGTGATATTTGTCTTTCTGTGTCTGGCTTATTTTACTTAACCATAATGACCTCCAGTATATTCTTTTTTTATGACATCTTCTATTGATGACTTTGATTATATTATCTTTTGCTCTTTGAAGGTTTTCATTTTTATATGATCAAATCTGTTTTTATGGCTTATATGATTTTCCCCTTAGCTTAATCTTACCCCTTCCAAGGTTATCTGAATGTTTTCCTAATTTTTCAAAGATATTTTTCTAGTTTTCTTATTTGTATATGGATCTTTAATAGACCAGAAATTTATTTTTTCTGTTACTTAATGAGTATAAGGATTCTAACTTTATTTCTGACTCATGTTTTATATCTGTAGAATTATCTTGTCATCGGGGGTGATGGGTGGTGATGGGACACAGTTGCTAAATGTATGTTTACAAAACCTTTCTCAGATTCTTATATATTTGCTTTGGTTTTAGAGATGAAACTAGAAAACACTGGACAATGTGAAGACTTTATTGTCAAAACTCTACCCTATGCAGGCTTAAGTGTTCATGTGAAAGTGCGTGTGTGTGCACGTAGGTGTGTATTTGTGTGTGCATTCCTGCATGTGTGTGAGTTTAGTGTACTGGAGAAGGAAGAGTGGAGAGGATAATATGGGAGTGGGGAAAACCAGTTGCTCTAGAAACCAACTTTTAGATCAAATGCTATTTTCCTTGCCCTTTAAGAATGTGTGGAACTCGATTGCGCTTGGTTTTGGTTTTTCAAGCTTGAGCATTAAGAATGGTTTATAAATAGCTGGGGTAATTTTGGCTGTCCTGGGACCACATACTGTGAATGAGTTAGAAGGTGCTTGTCTTTCGTTTTAAAGCATGCCTTTAAAGCCACAGACTCACCTATTAGATGGGTGTACTTTCAAGAGGACTAAGGGGCCCACAGCAGGTAGCCATCTGGAAAACCAGGAAAAGGTGACAACTTCCTGAGAGGGGGCCTTTGAGCCCCAGCCTTATCTCACAAACAGCCCTGAGACCTCCCCAGACTGCCAGCCCCAGCCCAGCCCCTCCCAGGACAGGCGGCTGTACGGGAGCATTTGCCTCCTGCAGCACGCAGTCTCCTGCAGAGCTGCCTCCCTTGTAGGGAAGAGGGCTGGAACAAGTCCCTCATTCCTCCAGGGAGGATTTCAAAGCATTTGGCCTGGGCAGAGCTCACAAATAGGAGTAAGTTATTTCTGGTGCTTGGAGAGAGGAAGGGTTGCAGGACTACAATTCACATGTGCCGACTGTGATGTGGGCAGTATTTCCATATTTATTATTTCACGTAATCCTCATAAAAACCCTGGCAGATGGGCAGCATCATTTCATTTTGAAGAAGACAGAACTAAGGTCTAGGACCTAGCAATGCAAAGCCTCATAGTTAGCCAGGGGCACAAGGCTAACTAGTTAGCTAGCCAGCTCAGCTTGACTCCAAGCTCAGGCTCCTTCCCCTGATTCCTGCTGCCTTTGCCAGTTCTCTAAGGACATCACACGCCCTGGGCTTGGCAGTAGGAGAGCAGGCTCACTCCTGGGCTTCGTGACCTTTCCTCTGCTTCCCCACCTCCAGGGCCCTCATCTTTCACCATCTGAGGTTCAGAGGGGAGATTCAACTTGTCCTCTGAAGGGGAGTCTCAGGGAAACTTGCCCTTTCCCCCTAGGTTGGTTCGCTGAAAAGATCAAGTCATAATTATGGTAGATTAATAAGAGAAAGGTTTATTAATACCATGAGTATGGGGGGAACCACAAGAATGATTTCCCAAAGTTTCAGTGATAGTGGCTTTTAAAGATGCCTTTTAGAAGGGAGGAGGGAGAGAAACTGGAAAGTGTCCATGCAGCAAGTGGTTGCTAAGGGTGGATGGGTAGACGGAAGGAAACGGAAACGGATCGATTAGTAAATTAACCTGAGAGACAGGTATCATGCTTCAGATGACCTTAGGGCCAGGGCTATACACATGTGATAAGGAGGCCAGAAACCCGTTTTCTGATTCTAAATCAGGTTACTCAGGTTTTATAGAGGAGAGGCTGGTGCTTTCTAATCAAAAATGGCCTTTTCACTGAAAATATTCTTTATACTAAGGAATTATATTTTGGGGTGAAATTTCCTTAGCTCCTTCTCCTCTAAGTTATTTCCCTTTGAACTTCTGCCTCCAGCCTGAACATTTTCTCAGAAATTCCCTTCACTTCCTTTGTTGGCGCCTGGAGTCCTTCTTAAGCTACAGAGGAAATCTAACTTCTGTTCATTTGTGTTCAGTAAAGTGTTCCACAATTCACACCAGGCTGAGGTTTCTTTGTTCTGCTTGTAGTTTCTGCCCCATTAGCTAATTGGGAGAAAAGCCAGGGAGAGAGGCCAAAGTAGGGGCAGGAGATTTGCTGCAAATTGACAAGGGCACAGAATTACCCTCGCGGTAAATGTTTTTTTTAAAAAACAACAGCAAAAGAAGATGCATATGCAAATGTACTTGTGTTTTTGAGGTCCTGCTCAATGGTTTAGTAAGTAATGTGCCTACATTGAGCCCCCCCCCCAAGTCTTGACCCTGTAGGCTCAGTGCTTCCTGGCTCAACAGGCACCAGAGCCTGGCTTGCTCCTCCCATCCGGCTGGGAAACCCAAAGGAGGCTTCTCTCTTGCCAGTAAAAC